TTTCATTATAATGGGGACTATGTTCTGGAAAGTTCTTTTTTAATGTTATATTTGTTTAAAAAAAGAATAAAATCTTGTGAGAGCCGTGAGCATGCCTAAATCCATTACACAGAAATCTTATTTAAAAACCTTCTGAGTATCTATATGTTTTTCTTCTTAAATCTGTCAGCTTCCTGGTTAATCATAAACCAGCTTTGACACAGTGACAGATTGCCATCGGTGTTAAGAGCATACATCTTTCAGCTTTCACAAGTGCTAGAAGCAGTGGAGCTGAACTGCCAGGTAATCCTGGTGGTATTCCATAGTATGTGCAGAGACCAGATGGTTATTGCTATCCATGAAGTCAGGATGCATGAGCTATTTCATATTTCAAGAATGGAACTCCAGAATATATCTTCCTGCATATCTACTTTTGGGAAAATAAATTATTGTCCAATTAAGTTCAAATGCAGCTGCTGCAATAGTTGCCGATTTAAGGGCAAGGCTGTAGTGTAGCTTTTTGTTTGAATGGACTTGTTTATTTCACTGATGGTACACAGTTCTGGGATTTACTGAGGACAGTGTCTTTTAAAGACGTTGGTACCATGGCTTTTTCATAAGCCTTCCTTCCAGGTCATGTGTCAGAAACCACTATTTTGGTGTTCTGTGTGCTTACTTTGTCCGCATCAGGGAAGCTTACAATATCTTAGTTCATCCCTGTGAAAGCGGAGTTGTGGGATGCATGGATCGCAATCTTGTGTTAATTAAGCTATTGTTAATAGCAACAGCTTGATTCCATTTATGGTAGGTAACTATTAATATAGTACAAGCAATTACTTCTAAACATCCTTACACGGTTACTGCTATAGAAGAGTCTTGGTGTTCTGAATTTCTCTGTTCTCCTGGATTCCACAGGAATTCTAGTCTGGAGCTTACCAGTTCTTGGGAGACTTCCAAGATTTATCAGCATCTACTTCTTCTCTACAGCTTGCTGTTTTCTGGTGGCTAGATCTTCAACTGTGTACAAGTATCTGTAGAGTCCATTCACACAAACTTGCACAGAAGGGATTTTTGTGAAAGGCATTTGCTTGTTTCCCCAACATCAAAAACATTCTGGGAACTGAAAAGATAGTTTGTATATGCTATACAATGTCTTACAAACACTAAGCCCTGGCAGCACTGGAATTTAAGAGCAACTGTGCACTTCTTGGATTGATTGTGGTTATTGAAGAATGCTACTTTATCTGGGCAAAGCAAAGAGATGCTTTTCTTTGCACAAACATAACTGCATTCATTTTGAGAAGGAAATGTATTTTAAAATAAAGCAAATCCTTTAAGTGAAGAGTAAACCTGGGGATCTCTTTTTCAGAGGAAGAGTGTGAACATATGAGGTTCGCTAGTTAGCACTGCACAAAAATATCTTCTAATGAAAATGCTCCATATTCTGTTTGCTCAGAGGTCAACTTGTAAGCATCTTGAGAAATAACCATACAGACTACTGAAGTTTTAATCCCTCTGTGTTATGAAGTCTCTGGAAAGTAAATTTCAATATTTAGAATAAATGTGCTTCATTCATTTTCAAAGCTCTCATACATAGCATGCTCTGTGGGAGCTTGTGATTGGAGCCAAATAGTACAGCTGTGTATCTAGACAAATGGTTGCTAATATGATCTTGTGATTGTTGGCTTTCTAAGAAGTAATGGAGCAATGCAGTCATCCAGCCTGTTCGAGTGTAAGTGCTTTAGGCACTGGCAAAGGTTATCTACTAAACTGAAGCTGTGTGCGTGTTCCCTGATTTTCTAGCCCATGCTATGAAAGCTGAAGGTGTGAAGAAAATGTGAAGGTTGCAGAAAATCTATAACTTGCACAGTGATTTCCAGCTGTTTTCATTTCAATCTCCAAATAGCTCCATAAGGTACACCGCAGACAAAAGTCAGAGTTGTTGCATGCTGCTAACTTACATTTAGGAAAATGTCTAGTATTACTAAAAGATCTCTTATACCACATAAAGTACCTTATAATTCAGAGGTAAAACTGAGTGTTAAGTATAAATATTAGCATCAAACCACCTTTAAAAAGCTGCTCCACATCAAGTTGATTATTTTAAAGTATAAGAGAAAGCTAAGGTAGCACACTACTCATTTGCTGAGCAGTAGATCTCTGCAATGGTGAACTTAGTTTAAAGAAATGTAAGTGGGTACAAATATAATTTGTTTGTATGCTAATAACACACAGAAAACCCTCCTCTCTTTTCAGAAACTTTTTCGCTAAAAGGACAAAGGAACTCAAACCTGCTGCCCAAAGTGCTCCTGGTTGGAAGTTGTTTGGAAAAGTGCCACCCAGGGAAAACCTTCCAAAAGATTCCAAAATTATTCAGCAGGTGAGTAAGCATCACGCAACTCTAGGTACAAAACTTGTAAAAATTAATGCATAGGTACTCCAGTTCTCTGCTGTTACCTCACTGCTGTTACCATACAACCGTAGAGCGCTCTGGGAAGTCTTTGTCTAAAGAATAGTGTTACTGAGGAGGAGTTTGAGTTTTATTATTTTCTAGTACATTCTTCAGTACATCTCTTCTTATAAAAAGGTGATAATGTTCAAAAAGCATTTAAGCTGTTGTGGTCAAAAAATCAGAACTTGTATAAATTTCCTGTAAAAACTTCCTTATTTAACACGATATGTTGCTTTTTCTTTTTTTTTTTTTTTTTTTAAATGATGATGTGATTATGAAATACTATTTTTTTTAATCTAACTCATCTTTCCATAGTTGTCCTTGCCTGGGAGATTTACTATCTGGGTAACTTGTGACAAATTGCGTAGAATTCTGAAACATGTAATCTTGTTTCATTGAGACTTTTAATCTCACTCAAGATATTTTTGTTTCAAAATAGTAATGTAAGTTGAAGTTGTTTTGGAGTTACTGGGGTACTACAGAAAGGTAATTCTGATTTCCTTCTTATACAAAGTTGAACTTAATATATGCATTCTTGGGGAGTCTGGCTTTAATTTGGTAAAATAATAATAAAATGTTATAGTCTTTAAAGATGAGGAATTGGTAATGTATTATTAACTTAATGCTAACATGCAATACTTAAGTTGAAAGATTTGTTGACATAAGAGATGTGAATATCCCTTGTGTTCGTTAAAACAGTAACTTGAATCTTTTGCGAGCTGCTTTCTGTGTCTCCTTTCTTACATTCTCTCTAAGCTGATGTGTTTGGCAAGTGCAAATGGCTGTGAAAAATGAAGCAGTGTTCAACCATCTTCTAAAAAGAGCTTCTTGGTGAAGAGGGCCTTTTGGGAGCAACTAAAGTGAAAAAAAAAAGGTTCTTTTTGAAGGACTTCAATGTAATGGGACTTGTCACACAATAAAATGTAGGAAATTATGAGATTACAGAAAGTGCAATCTTGGGGATTGGACTAGATGACCTTTAAAGGTCCCTTCCAACCTTAACTGTTCTATGATTTACTGTGAAGTAAACGGAGTGCTTTTTCAACATTTTCAAATACAATTTTCCTTATTTAAATGGTTTCCCTTTTTGGGTGGGAGAGGGCAAGTTGTCTTAGTTTACTTGCAGATGAATGCTGTTGGCCTTGTGTTATGAAAATACTGTGGTAAAAATCCAGATGTCTCTTTCATCCTGAGAAATGGAGAGTACGCACAATGCTACCAGTCATCTGCTTCCCGTTTTCTAGTAATGAAGATGTTTGTTCTGGAGACCAAGTCATAATCTGCAGAAATAGTCTTACTTTCTTATCCTGTTGTCCCTCAGTGGCTGTTTTTCTTTTAAACTGTAGCGTTAACCATTTTTTTTTTAAACTTCTCCGAAGTGGCTGAAAAGCAAATACAGTAAAGCAATGTACTGTGTTTAAACATGATTGAGTTGATCCTAGCCACTAGTCATGTGGTTTATGTTATAATGGTTGCCAGATTAGAGTCAGTATTGGATTTATATAATCTTGAGTAATTAATGTGTCAGCAGTAGCTAATATTTTTAGCTTTTCATTTAGCTGAAGTATGCATGGTCTTTAAATAAAGCATCATGAGGTAAGATACACAGTTATCAGATGGGATCCAGATAACACAGTTAGATCCACAATACCTGAGAACATCTGATTCTTAAATTGAGAGGTGACAGTAACATCTCCGTATTGAACATACAGCAAATGTCTTGTATGCGTGTTTAAAATTTACCGTATAGCTCTTTGTGCATATGCCTTTGAAGAAAACCTAATGGTTTTCAAGAACGTTCAAATTTGTTAAGCAGGCAGTGGGTTAGAATGAATATAGGCACATTTGGTTATTGAAGATCAGTGGAAAATAGTGTCTTCACTTTTTAAATGGCTGACCAAAGTCCCTAGTCTAAATTCCTCGCTCTGCAGGAGAGTGAAAAGAATATAGGCAAGAATGCAGTTATAAGGCCTTTAATCATATTTCTGTCAACTTCTTAAAGTAATCCTGTGAACCTAGTAAAATACTTAATATCCTACGTGGAATGTCTCTAGAATTTTCACTTTGACTTTTTAAATTGAAGTCAAAGGATCAGGTGTGATCTGAAACATAAACCCTGCATTTTCCCCCAACTTTTTTAGGCATCTATGGTCAGAACAACGGCTACTCACTGTTTACCAGCTTTTGTAAAATGAGCTTCTAGGTGTAAGACGATGCAAGTAGAATAGGCTTAAGCTGTAGGCAAGCTGCCTGTGAAGGGCGTTCATGATACATCATTATTAGCAACAAATCTTACTGTTCCTGAAGAGCTATGGCATTCTCCATGGTTCAACGCAGTTCTGTGACTTTACTTATGCCAATAGGCAACCTTGGGAGGGTGCAAATAAATATGTGACTAAGGAAACTCAGTAATGAGTCAGCATCCTTCAAATGAAGGATGAGATTGTAAGAAGCCCTTCTGGAGGAAAAAATAACTCCTGATGGGAAAAACTTCATAATGAATAGGAGGAGGAAGTCTTTTGGGTAAGGGTAATGCTTATATCAAAAGTCTACAGCAATATTTACTAACAGGACTTTCCTATTAGTAAAACAAGGAAAAAATTGCATCATTGTAGGTTTATAATCAAAAGGCTGATAGAGCTCACATGCCCTGTTGCATCCTGGCCAGTGGAAGCCTCCTTTGTTATCCTCATTTTGGTAAGGATGATGTAGTAAATTGATAATTACATTTAAATGAATGCTTGTGGTGCCTAATCACTGTCAGCTGGAAATTGCGAGATATGCCTCTCCAGAGAAGTCAGGTGGTGATTCTAATATCTTGAGTAACTTCCAAGAAAATCTGGAAACTGAATTTGGGATACTGTTTCAGACATTTTTCAGACAAGAGTGCTAGCCAGCTCTGCCTTCAGAGACTGTCTAATGAATGTTACTGTAAATAATTCCTTTGCAAGTTTCTTAGCACATGTGGAAGATGATAAATGTTTTTGTCAAAAAGCAACCTGCAGGGCCTGCCTGTCTGGGGAGATGGCAGTGTCCCTTGCAGCTGTGCTGCCATCAGCATGCTTTGGGTGAGATGCTCTAGCGCAAACTAGGTCAGAGGTTGAAAGTTCTTGGCAGCTGCATCTCCCCGCTCGCAGCTGCTGGCATGCTCAGCTCTCCTTGGATTTAGAGCTGCCCAAGCAGGATGTGATTGAGGCCAAGTCTTTTGCTGGACATCTCCCTCCTCTGGGCTTCCTTCCTTCACTGTTTTTCAAAAAGGGAAAACAGCAGCTCCTTAGGACTGCATATGTCAAATTCATTTGATGTTTTTAGGAAGTGTGCCTTTTTTCATGAACTGCAGCTAATAAAACTGACTATTATAAGAAGTATGTGGTCATTAATGATCATTCTGGTAAATTCTTTTCAGTCTGTACAGAAATCTGCTTTAAATTAGACTGCTGAAACATTTTAATACAGAAGCATTTAAAGCAGAATCTGACTTGTGCACTTATGTGTAACATTTTGGTGTGTATTGACTGAAGTCCAAGTTCTTTTTAAAAACGCAAGCTCAATTTCATTTTTTATGCTTACAATTAAAGAGCTTTTAATCTATAATTAAAATTATTCTGAAAATCAACTTAAGATTAGTTCTTGATTTTATTAAAGCAGTCTTGAATACTTTTTATTAATTTGTGTAAAGCAGTACAGTGATTTTTTTCCTAATATGCCTGAATTAAACTCAAAATATGGAAATGCACATGACAAGATGAACTAAAACATACACCAAATTCACTTCATCAGCTATTTTAGCAAAGTAATGTCAATGGCAGAATTAAATGGAGGGAAGCTTATTTTCTATTTAAATCTGACACACCATGGAAGGGTTGCAGTGATTTACAAATGTTTCAGAAGTTGAAGTGTCTTCCGAAAGTTGTCACCTTACATACAAAATCTAAGGTATTGATTTTACACCGTCTTTTGAATACTAACACTGATTTCGATGCCCGGGTCACTGTCCTGCAACCTTTGAAAATATTTTTGAGTGTCTCTGAATATTTGGAAAAAAAACCACTCAAAAGTACTTGAGGGCTAAAAACCATAGTGATTTCACTTGCATATTTTCCCAATGTCATTATCTCCAGTCTGAAATCTAATGGAGAAATTGCATTCACTGAATCAGCAGAACTCCCATGGTCTCCCAGCGACAATTTATTGGAGTTTCCTCTTCAGAGGAACAGATGTATTTTTAATTGCTTTTCATGCAACTCAGACCTCCTAACTTGCAATATTAACTCTTCCCACCAGTTTTTTTGTTCTGGTTTAACAGTGCATGGAGTTCTTGATGCTTAAAAGTGCACGTGGCATGTTTGTCAACTAATCTAAGAACTGAATATCTGCAAGAAGTAGGTAAATACAGTGCTAGGTGCTTTTTCATAGGAGTGGGTCTTAAGTAGATTGTTGTCTGGATAGGTTGTCTTGTCTTGCACTGCTACCAGAGAAAAGAGAAAGGCAAGACTTCTGCCTGTTTAGCGGATACAGGGTAGAAATGGTGACATTGGTTAACAATGGTTCCTAACAAACTGCCTGGAAACCAGGACAGTAAGTGCAGGTATTTGGTTTTGCAAGAAACAGCATAACACCTGAATAACAATCTGTCTACTAACAGCAGTGAGAAGCCTGTGATGGTTTTCCTTTGTAGAAAGTATAGCAGTCACATTCTCAGGCAGTGTCCCTCATCTCTCCAGAGTCACACATGTATTCAGTAAAATGCTACGCTAGAGATAAAACAAAGACATTCACCGATGTTTTAGACTTTTGCAGGATTGTCTTGTCAGTAAAATGGTAATGAAGCTGGTTGGACCTCAGCGAGACAAATGCCTCCTTTTGTTTGCATAAAGGATAGAAAATACACTTCAGCTCCAAGTAACAGGGCTTACCCAGCTTGGTAAGCTTGTCAAAACTCACCAAGTTTTGGCAAACTTTTACCAAAGGAAAGTTTGTCAAGGAGAACTTTTCATGATGGCAGTGCTGTGCTGGTGGCACAAACTCATCTTCAGGGGAGTACTCTACAGTGAGCATGGCATTAATGTTTTGAAAACACCGCAGGTGTCGACTGCTGATGTGAATTCTTCTGCTTGCTGTTTTTAAAAAAAAAACTCTTTGAAGTCAAGTACAAAGAGTATCGAAGTGAACTTTCACTTCGTAAAGCTTGAAAAAGAATAGAATCACAGAATAGTTAGGGTTGGAAAGGACCTTAAGATCATCTAGTTCCAACCCCCCTGCCATGAGCAGGGACACCACACACTAAACTATGTCGCCCAAGATTCTGTCAGCATTGTACATATTTTCATTTCTGTCCTCAGAAGTTCCTGGGTTTTGAGGAAACAAAGAGAAACAATCTTGAGGTAATAAAAATGATAGACTGTCTTTTACTTTGATTTGATGGGACAATGATTTTTCTTTTTCTTGGTCTTCTGTATCATCTTTTTGCTGGGATTCCTCTCTCTTTATTGGGCCTTTGAATTTCATTAGCAAAGGATGGCATAGATAAAAATAATTGTTTTTTCTTTAAGTGAGATTTTGAGGTTAAGCAGACTTATGCTGGTGAGCTTGAGGTGTTGTGAGCTAACCATCTTATACGTAAAGATCTAGTTGGGTGTGAGATGCAATCTAAGATGAGCTGAATGAAAGCAGGGTTTTCAAGATTTGTTTTCAGAACAGCTTCTGTTTTGTGTCAGCCTATAGATGGTATTTTGTTCTTTTTAACAGCTATCTTTCAAAGCTAGTGTTCAAGTAAGTGTAACTTTTATGGGTTATTTGGACTAGTGAGCAATAGTGTATCAGGGAATGCTTTTTGTTATGCACCTGAGAAGTGCCACAGAAAAAGATCCCCTTCAGGCAAAGGTGCTGATTGTAGAAAATAAAAAATTTCAATTAAAACAGAAAAAACAGTCCAACAGATGTCTGTACACATTTTGCACAAGTGGGAAGTCTTTGTATGTGTTTTCATATATTTTGAGGACTGAAGAACGATGAACAGACACATCTATGTTTCTTCCAACATAGAACATAAATATGTGTGAATTCAAATTTTGGCTTGTATGTTTCTATATTGTAATGGTCTTTTTCATTTATTCACTAAGGCTTTGCTTCTGTTTTTCTCATTAGGATGACAGTTCTGGCAGTCTTGCGTCAATATCTGCTCTCAGTCTATTAAACACAGGGGTATGAAATTTAATATATATATTTTTTTTAGTTGTATGCGATGCCATGCATGGAACTGTGTAGCACTCATTAAAATAGAACAAACATTACATTTTCACAGTGGCATGAATATTTTATGGAACTAACCATCAACTCATTAGATACCATTAATAAAATAAGCAAACAAACTTCACACATGAATCTGACTAACAGCTAAAAGTGTATTATTGTTTATATTGCATGTTCTTGAATAGCAGCAAATAGGTAATGCTAGAGCTTGACAGTAACTTACATGTTTGCTGTGCCTCCTTGCTTAATGGTAAAAGTTGTTAAAAGGCCTAATTTGTAATACTTTCAAACACCTTGTATTAGCTTTGAAAACTGATATCCTACAATCTCTTTTTTTTTTCCCCTGTCACCAAGTCACGCCAGCTATTAACAGTAGCACATCAGAACTCCAGATGTGTTTAATCATACTTCCAATTTGAAATTGAAAACCTATAAAAGTGTAGCTTTTGAAACATTTGTTATGTTATGTCTTCGGTTTGCTGTGACTGGTATCCTTCTGAAATTAGTCCAGTGCACATGTCTGTTACTTTGAAAACTTCTAATGTAATCCCACACTCTATGTTAAACAGGAATGGTAAAAGCTGGCTTTTTAGTTCTGTCATTTGTTAGCTTTGTCTTTGTGAAATAGAGCAGTAACATAACTGCTAGTTGATATGTGATGCCTATGGTTCGTGTTACACGGTCTAGCCACTCTCAGCTTTTCTTTATAGGGCCCAAAGCCTATGGCTTTATGCTCTTTGTAAAGAACAAAAGATGAAACTTGATGCAATTTGTTAAATATCCAATTGAGGAAAAAATAAAGTAAACAATTAAAGATGGATGGCATTACTTTGGAAGGTTGACCTAGAAAAACTCTTCAGTGTCTGGCTGTTCTCTTTCACTGTGTGAAAATTAGTATTTTTCCCTCCTTCAGTATAGGTTCTTCCTATGTCACCTGCAGGTTACAAAAGAATGTATTGTTCTGTCTGTCCTAATAGTATCCAGCATTTAGTTCTGGGAAAATGTCTAGTTTACGACTCACAGGGTTTTTCAGTGACATTTACCCTTGCTATAAGCACTTCTTTATTTATAATTACCTTGTAGCCAATGCTAGCTCAGCAATTTTAACATTTAACCTGGGACACACAGGTTAAACGGCATAAGAGGAAATCCTTATACATTAGCAGAAATTCTTCTTACATAAATTTTGTATTAGTTTTATTAAGGTGATATAGATGAGTGCCTTCCTAACTGGTTCTATTAATGAGTCCATTTGTGGATGATCAACCCTGCTTCAAATGAAGGGAAATAATCTTTCTGATGATATTTCTACTTAACTGTACAACACTGTGGAAGTAATCGTATAGATGTTTTTAGAGGCCTACCTGCCCCACAGTTGAATATGTGTGTGAGGAGGAGAAAGGCTTGAAACCACTTGCAGAATATATGGCAATCCCCATTGTTTCCTCAAAAGAAGTAATGACTGAATAAATCCTGTTACAGTACCAGGCTTGGAGTTTTGGGGGAGTAAACCATGTCAAAAGAAACTGTCATACACAGGGTGCATGTTTTGTTTAATTGGAGTATTAGTATGCCTTGACATCTACTTTACATTAGAGGCAATCCTTAAGGTAGACAACAGGAATTAACTTTCACTATCACTTTCTCCTCCAGCATATGAAAAACGTAATTGGATATGTGGTGCTTAATCTGTATAACTGGTACTTTCACGACTGTGAGGACTTTCACAACCCTTGTAATCCAAGGCTTTTATCACTTGTTTCCAGGAGTTCAGCTTTTGTTGTTGGATCCTAAAAACGTAGCCAAGCAAGATGCATGTTAAATTTCATGGTCAATATTCATTCCTTTAAAGCGCTATAGTTCAGGCATTGTAGATGCAAGTTTGTCTTCTAAAACTGAATCATTATGTGCACACTTAGTGAAGTACTTTATCCCCATGAGCATACCCTACTTAAGGTCATCTAATGCTTTTGGAACGCTGCAATGCAGCTGGTTTTCCTATCTGTAAGGTAGTTCGCTAAGATGCTGGAAGAAGCAGCTATGGGCAATTACGCGTATGTTCCACAGTGTAATCCAGTACTGTTTAGAGATACATAAAATAGCTCTCAGTGGTCATGGAGTCCTATATGGTGTTTCTGATGAAGGATGAAAAGAAACTTCAGTTTTGTATGGTTTCCATATAGATACCAAAAAGGTGTAGGCAAAAAAGACCTCTGCAAGTTTATGATTTTTCTTTTGTTTAAAACACCAGGGGATTTTTTTAAATTGTTTTTTAGTTAAAGACAACACTGTTTGGTGTATTTCTATCTTCTCAAGCACAAAGGCAAAAGACTTTTTCCCAGCCTCATTTACCTGTTACCTGTCTGGGTTAATAGGCTTAACTGTATTTCTGTAGGAATAAATACTGGAAATACAAGTCTCTCCACATATTGAAGTGTGCTCTTCACACACTTCAGGAAAAACATGCTTTTAGCCTGTTAACAGGTTAATTATTGGCAGTAGATGAGAGGATGCAGTTCCAGCCTTAATAAGGAGATAACTATTCTTACTTTCTATTAAAGCCGAGATTTGTTTTTCTTTGGGATTGTGAAATGTTCTGCAACTTTCAGTAAGTACTAGATATGCTGCAATATTTTAACAACATTCCCTAAGCTACAGAAACCATACATGTGACACTTCCACAACCATTTTTTTTACATAATCTTGAATCTTAGCAGTCAGTTGTTCTATCCTCTGCCATATGCCATGCATGTTAAGCATTTGACAAGCCATTTGACTTTAAGTTGTATTTCATCTTGTTATGGAAGAGTATTAGCTCACATCTTTTGAAGTTAAATTCTGTATCAGCTCAAGCTTTTTATCCCATGCCAAGAATTTTAGATTCTGCATCAGATGTATATTTAAGGCTTACTGAATTCTTTACATCTAGTCAAACGAAATATTCCAGGGAAAAAGAAAGATACTTTAATTGCATAAACCAGTGAGTTCCATGCATGTCTGATGATTCTGGTATCTAATCTTCAAATAAGTTTCCTAGCACACAGGCTCCTTGAGGAAGAAGCACCTTCCATTAGATAGTTCTGATACTTTGGAATGTATTTCTTCTTGGAGAATGTTATGCGAGTTTGAGCCTGAAGCTATTTTGGTCTCTGCCTAGACTCTTTCTAGTAACAGCTTTCCCTTCCTGTTCATGTGTTCTTTTCTTGCAAAACCCAGCTGTTCATAAAGTTTACTTACGTTCAGAAACACAATTGGGTGATTAGTTCTGCTTATGTGGAAATCCCACTGAAGACATTTTCTTTCCACTCCTCCCCACGCCCCCAACCTCTTTCTTTATCTGTTGCTTTGGAAATAGTATATCAGTTCTTAGGACGTACGATAGCCAGAAGCACTAGCACTATTCAAATGTGTTGCTTGTAATAAGAAGGTGAGAGTGGCTTCATTCTAATATCCATCTTGCAATGCTTTTATTATTTAACTTGCATATGAATCGGGTGTGTAGGAATGTTAAAAAGGTTGGTACCATTTGAGCTTCCTCAGAACTCTGACCACTAAATGAATTTGATTTTTTTGTCTTCTGTTACAAAGTACTAGAAAAATATGAAAGTAAATCGGAACTTCTGCCCAAGGACATGAGGGATGGCATTGCTACTCAACTGGAGCGTGCATGTTGACCTCCAGGTGCTATCACAGGATACGTTCCTAAGTTAAGAACGTGCTGGGGTATCCTGAGGTATAAAGCATGTCAGGAGTGCCTAAAATGTGTCTGGCTTTAAGTGGAATGAAATTTTAGCCTTAAGAACCTACGTGTTTATTACAACAGAACTCTACCAATCCCGTATGTCCAGTTTTTTGAGATATTTGTTTGAATGTGCCAAATCATGTTGGATGCATATTGTTTTCCAATCAAAAGTTACCTTGAAATTACCCTTCAGGAGAAAAATATGCTTTAGGAAATTTGTATAACCACTGTATTTGGCCAGAGATATAGAAATACTTAAAACAAAGTTATATTTAAGAACAGTTGGCTAGTAACTTTTAAATCATTGTGTTTGCAAAGAATTAGGTTTTTAATGAGAATGTACGTATAAATAAAACGTAGCAAACAGTTGCTTGCTCTTTTCTTTCCAAGGTGCGTATTTGGACTGTGTTTGAAGGCAGAAAAGCAACAGAGTTTCTGGTTTCTAGTTGAAGTTGTGGGCTGGTTGCTATAGATTTGTGCTTGGCTTTCCAAAGGCATTTTACTAGGGCACTAATAAATGAGTCATTTGGTACACTGCCATGGGGCAGAGTATGATATAGTAGTTAAAGGGTGGATAGCTTGAAGGATCACAGAATCATAGAATTACAGGTTGGGCAGAGAAGAGATTCAGAGCAGCCCTGCGGAGAAGGACTTGGGGGTGGTGATTGGTGAGAAACTCGACATGAGCAGGCTTCAGTGTGCGCTTGCGGCCCAGAAACCAACTGTATCCTGGGCTGCATCAAAAGAAGCGTGACCAGCAGGCCAAAGGAGGTGATCCTGCCCCTCTCCTCTGCTCTCGTAAGACCTCACTTGGAGTATTGTGTCCAGTTCTGGTGTCCTCAACATAAAAAGGACATGGAGCTGTTGGAGCAAGTCCAGAGGAGGGCCACGAGGATGATAAGAGGACTGGAGCACCTCCCGTATGAAGACAGGCTGAGAAGGTTGGGGCTGTTCAGCCTGGAGAAGAGAAGACTGTGTGGAGACCTCATAGCAGCCTTCCAGTATCTGAAGGGGGCCTACAAGGATGCTGGGGAGGGACTCTTCAGTAGGGACTCCAGTGGTAGGATGAGGGGGGACAGAC